AATTTTTTATTTATTGTAGAGACGAGGTCTCACCAAGTTGCCTGGGCAGGTCTCAAACCCACGGGCTTAGGCAATCCACTCGCCTCGGCCTCCCAAAGTGCTAGGATTACAGGCTGAGCCACTGAGCCTGGCCTCATATATCTTCTTTTGAGAAGTGTCTGTTCATGGCTTTTGCCCACTTTTTAATGGGGCTGTTTGGTTTTTTTTCCTTTCAGAGCATTTGAGTTCCTTATAGATCCTAGATATTCGGACTTTGTCAAATACACAGTTGGCAAATATTTTTTCCCTTTCTGTGGACTGTCTCCCCACTCTCTTAATGGTTTCGTTTGCTTTGCAGAAGTTTGTCAGTTTGATGAGGTCCCACTTGTCTATCTTATCTCTTATGGTATGGGCACTTGGGATTTTGATGAGACATTGGTTGCCAGTTCCAATTTTCATAAGGGTATCTCCTGTGTTTTCTAAGGTTCTTATAGCTTGAGGTTTTACATTTAGGTCTTTGATCCATTTGGAGTTGATTTTTGTGTATGGTGATAGGTAGGGGTCCTGTTTCAATCTTCTGTATATGATCAGCCAGTTTTCCCAGCACCATTTACTGAATAGGTTCTCCTCTCCCCAGTGGTTGTTGTTGGAGACTTTGTCAAAGTTGAGTTGATTGAGAAATTGAGGCTTTGCTTCTAGAATCTCTATCCTGTTCCATTGGTCCATATGCCTGTTCTTGTACCAATACCAGGCTGTTTTGATTATTGTAGCCTTATAGTAAAGTTTGAAGTCTGGAAGTATGATACCTCCTGCTTTGTTTCTTTTGCTAAGGATTGTTTGGGCTATTTGTGGTCATTTATGTTTCCATATGAACTTCTGTATTGTCATTTCCAGGCCTGAGAAGAATAATGTTGGTAATTTAATGGGTATTGTGTTGAATCTGTAGATTGCCTTTGTTAGGATGGACATCTTAACAATGTTGATTCTTCCTATCCATGAGCAAGTAATATTTTTCCATTTGTTTGTGTCTTCTTGGATTTCTTTGAGCAGTGTTTTGTAGTTCTCATTGTAAAGATCTTTCACTTCTCTGGTTAGGAAGATGCTGAAGTAGTTCTTTTATTTTCTTTTCTTTTGTGGCTATTGTGAATGGGATTGTGCTTTTTATTTTGTTCTCCGCCTGCTTGTTGTTGGTGTATAAGAATGCAATTGTCTTTTGCACATTTATTTTGTATCCCAAGACTTTGCCAAAGTCCTTTATCAGTGCAAGCAGGTTTTTCATAGATTCTCTTGGATTTTCGAGGTAGAGGATCATATCGTCAGCAAAGAGGGATAACTTAACTTCCTCTTTTCCTATTTGGATGCCCCTGATTTCCTTCTTTTGTCTAATTGCTCTAGCTAGGACTTTCAATACAATGTTGAACAAGAGCGATAAGAGTGGGCAGCCTTGTCTTGTTCCAGTTTTCAGGGGAAATGTTTCCAGTTTCTGTCTGTTTAGTAATATGATAGCTGTAGGTTTATTGTAGATGGAGCTTACTATTTTGAGGTATGTTCCCTCTATACCTAGATGTTCGAGGGTTTTTATTAAGAAGGAATGCTGGATTTTATCAAAAGTTTTTTCTGCATCTAATGATATAATCATGTGGTTCCTGTTTTTATATCTGTTGATGTATTTAGTTACATTTATGGTCTTGCAGATGTTAAACCAGCCCTGCATCCTGAAGATGAAGCACACTTGGTCATGGTGAATGGTTTTTGAGATGTGTTTTTGGATCCGATTTGCTAGAATTTTGTTAAGGATTTTTACATCTATGTTCATAAGGGATATTGGCCTGTAGTTCTCTTTTTTTGTTGGATCTTTACCCGGTTTGGGTATTAGTGTGAGGTTAGCTTCATCAAATGATTTGGGGAGAATTGCATCTTTCTCAATTGCCTGAAATACTTTCAATAGAATTGGTATCAGCTCCTCCTTTTATGTTTTGTAGAATTCTGCTGGAAAGCCGTCTGGTCCAGGGCTTTTTTTTTTTTGGTAGATAGTTTTCTTATGACAAAGTCAATTTCCTGGGTTGTTACTGGTCTATTTAGTGTCTCAATGTCTTCTTGTTTCAACCCAGGGAGATTATGTGATGTCAGAAAGTCCTCCATTTTATTGAGGCTATCAAGTTTGTTTCCATACAGGTGTGCATGATAATCTCTGATAATCTTTTGTATTTCTTCGGGGTCAGTTGTGATTTGATCTTTTGTTTTTATTTGAGCTTTTCCTCTCTTTTTCTTGGTCATTTTAGCTAAGGGGCCATCAATCTTGCTAATTCTTTAAAAGAAACAGCTTTTTTTGTTGATGTTTTCCATGATTTTTCTTTTTTTTTTTTTTTTTTGAGTTGGAGTCTCACTCTGTCACCCAGACTGGAGTGCAGTGGCCACTCCCGGCCACCGCAGCCTCGACCTGCTGGGCTCCGGCGATCCTTCCGCCTCAGCCTTCCGAGTAGCTGGAATTACAGACACGTGCTACCACGCCCGGCTAATTTTTTTTGTAGAGATGAGGTCTCACCTGCCCAGGCGGATCTCAAACCCACGGGCTCAAGCTCTATGATATGTTTGTCTTCCATGTTCCATATTTGGGCTCTTGTTTTGGTGATCTGGATTCTCCTTCTTTTTCTTTTCTTTTTTTTTTTTTTGAGTTGGAGTCTCACTCTGTCGCCCAGACTGGAGTGCAGTGGCACGCTCCTGGCCACCGCAGCCTCGACCTGCTGGGCTCCGGAGATTCTTCCACCTCACCCTTCCAAGTAGCTGGAACTGCAGGCACGTGCTACCATGCCCGGTTAATTTTTTGATTTATTGTAGAGATGAGGTCTCACCAAGTTGCCCAGGTGGGTCTCAAACCTGCGGGCTCAGGCAATCCACTCACCTCAGCCTCTCAAAGCGTGGGATTACAGGCTGAGCCACCGAGCCCGGCTGGATTCTCCTTCTAAAGTTAGGTTTTGGTGGTCTCCAGAGACTGACTCTTAAGTACCACTCTGCCCTACCTATCTTGGTAAATGCCCACCAAGACTCCCAACACAACTCCTCTGCCCTCTTCCTCTTGCTCTAGATCTCCACCTGCATCAAGGACCTGCCAGTCTGAGCAGTTTTCTGTCCCAAGGTCACCAAGGGGCTACCTGCTCCCCCACTGCCAGCCTCCAGCATGCAGGAGGCCTTCATGACACCAACACCTTCGGGCCCCAGCCACTCCTCAGTCTCCACCCAGGACAAGTCCTCCTCTGGCCCACAGCCCTCGAAGCCCTCGGTCGTGCCAGGCCCCACGAGGTCCAAGAACCCCAGTTCCAGGGCCAATTCCCACCTGATGCGCCGGATCATTGCAGAGGATGCCGAGTGGTCACTGGCCATTGTGCCCCTCCTAACAGAGCTCTGCATTCAGCACATCATCAAGAACTTCCAGAGTGAGCCTGTCTCTGCTGTGGGTGGGGAGGGGCAGGCCAGAGGTCAGGCAAGGTGGTGTGAGAACTGAGAAACTGGGTCCTGGGCAGCCTCTCCCTCCCACATGGCACCCTCTCACCCACTCAACACTTCTCTTCCACCCACAGCCCAGCCAGTGTCTCCTGCTGTACTCACAAGTCCCATCAGACACCTACCACCCTGTGCCCTCTGTGCCTCTGCCCTCTCCTGGCCTTTTCCATTCTGTCCAGAAAAACCCAGCCTGAACTACTCATAAGGGGTGGAGGGGAACCCCCAGAACATCAGAATTTATTTATAAAAAATTATGTATTTATTCTTACATGTTTAAACTTCAGTTACCTTCAAAGTACTCTCCGTCTGATGCAATATACCTATTGACATGCTTTTCCGCTGCTCAAAACAGTTTCTAAACTTGTCAGTTTTGACGCCTTTTAGTGCTTCTACGTTTTTAGTTTCAACTCCTCCACATTGGCAAAACATTTCCCTTTGAGGACTTTTTTCATCTGGAAAAACCAAAAAAAAGTCACTCAGGGAAAGACCCAGTGAATAGGAAGGGTGGGGCACAAAGGTCATGCTGGTTTTGACCAAAAACTGCTGAACACTCAGCACGGTGTGGACAGGTGCACACCTAAATCACCCCTCATGAAATGGGCAAACATGTTGAAAGAATCTCCACAAAAAACTCACCGAAGCCGAATGCAGCCTCTCACAACAACATTAGCTGCTGTACTGATGCAGATGGGTTCCTAGAACACTTACCTAGTGGGAGAAGCCTGTACTACAAAGGGCCCGCCCTCCAGAAGATAATTCTGAGTTTTCTGGGTCTTCCTCTTGTATTTCCTCTTCCAGAAAGCCCTCCTAGGTTAACCACCCTCCACTCTGATGGAGTCTTCCATGCTATGTGTGGGCTCTCGGTTGGTTCTGAACTCTATGCTCTGTAATATCCATCCTTTCCAAAGATGGGGAACTCTCTGAGGACAGGGCCATCATATGTCTACACAACTGTGGCCACCTGTATATATCTACATACATATGTGTGTGTGTGTGTGTGTGTGTGTGTGTGCGCGCGTGTGTGTGTGTGTATACATTGTACTTGTTTATTGACTGCCTCCCCTCATTAGCATGTAAACTCCGAGAGGGAGGGGCTTCTTCTATTCTGCTCACTCTCAGCACTTCAAACAGTGTCTAGCAGCACATAGTGAGTGCTAAAAAAAATCGATTTTGAAATGAATGAATCGAATCACATTGAGAGCTCTGAAGCCAGGAATTGTCTCCTCCATCAGACTAGGTGATAATTGAGGGTTGGATCCAAGATTGGTCCTCAGACTGGGAGCTCCCAGAGATCAGATGGGAACAGAGGCTGAGATGACCTCCCTCAGGCCGGGAGTACCCCAGAGCCAGGGGCTGTGTCTCCCCTGCAGATTGAGCCTGAGAGCAGAGGCTGTCTGTCCCCTGAGACTGGGTCTCCCCCTTCCTCAGTGCCCCCAGGCAGGCCCAGCTCAGGGTTCTATGTTGTGGCCCTACAGCCCAGCACTGTGACCCCTGCTTCCTTTTCTCTGTTCCCAAAGATAACCCCATCCTGAAGCAGCTGCTCCCGGAGCACCAGCAGAAGGTCCTGAGCCACCTGTCCCCTGACCTGCCACTGGCTGTGACAGCCAACCTGATCGCCGACGAAAGCTACTGGCGCCGCTGCTGCACGCAGCGCTGGCCCATGTGCCACGTGGCCGGGCACGGCGGCAACTGGAAGCGCATGTTCTTCGAGAGGCACCTGGAGGACCTGCTGAAGCACTTCATCCCGGGCACCACGGACCCCGCGGTGATCCTGGACCTGCTGCCGCTCTGCAGGGACTACGTGCGCCGCATCCACGTGGACCAGTTCCTGCCGCCCGTGCTGATGCCGTCACCGCCCATGACCGAGGACCAGTCAGACTCGGGCAGCGAGGGAGAGATGGAGGAGGCCGCCCTCGACCACTACCAGCTGGGCGACCTGGTGGCAGGCCTGAGTCACCTGGAGGAGCTGGACCTGGTGTACGGCGTCAAGGACTGCGGCATGAACTTCGAGTGGAACCTCTTCCTCTTCACCTACCGCGACTGCCACGCCTTGGCGGCCACCATCAAGGCATGCCACACCCTCAAGGTACCATTGGCCAGCAGCCTCTCCCCACCCCTTCTCAGCATCTCTCAGATTCTCTCTCCCCTTCTCTTCCTCCTCCTCTGTCTTTTTTTTTTTTTTTTTTTGGTAGAGACAGGGCCTTGCTATGTTGCCCAGGCTGATCCTAAACTCCTGGGCTCAGGCGATTCCCCCACCTCGGCCTCCCCAAGTGCTGGAATGACAGGTGTGCGCCTCCGTGTTCTGCCCACATTTTTTCCTTCTCTCTCATTAGCCATGTGTTTTTTAATGCACCCTGCACCAAGCCCCCATGTTCTGGGCATGCAGAACAAGGCACTGCCCTCCCAGTTCAGTTTGCTTCCGGGGAGGTGCATCTGCACTCCAGACCGTGTCCTTGGTGCTGAAGACACAACGATGAGCGAAATTACACCATTTGTGCCTTCTGCAGCTAACAGTCTGGTGGAATAAAAGGCTCTAATCAGCAACCAGAGAAACATAAGATTGCAGCCAGAATAGGGCTGCCCGATTTAGCAAGCAAAAATACAGGACGTCCTATTTGAATTTTGGATAAACAACCCATAATTTTCCAGTGTAAGTATGTCCCAAATATTCTATGGGCCATGTCGTAGTTTACTGGAAATTTAAATTTAACTGAGTATCCTGTATTTTTTTTTCTGGCCATCCTGAACTGGGATGAATGCTATGCAGAAGAGATACTCACATGAGAGATTATGAAAGGGGCATTGGGCCTTGCCAAGGAAGGCTCCCCTGAGCAAGTGTCACTTATGTAGAGATGAGAAGAAGGAGTGACAGTCTAAGGAAAGAGGGAGGAACTTTCCAGGCAGAGGGGGCAGCACATACAAGCCATGTGTGCAGAGTGAACATGGCCGACTCAAGGGATGGACAGAGAAGGATGTGTAGCCAAACCCATGTGTGAGGGAGCAGGGCAGGATGGAAACAGAGAGGCGGTAAGCAGTCAGCCATGCTGGGCGAAGGAGGCCTTTTTGGGAGCCTGTCTATCTTTAGCAGCTCTGGGACACTGCCCAAGGGTTTTAGGCAAAAAGCAGATGACATTATTGGATTTTGTGTGTGAAAATATCCCTCTGGCTATGGGGGAGACTGGCCCAGGCAGGGCGACAGTGGACATGGAAACCACCTAGGAGACCATTGCCAAATCCAGGTGGAGATGAAGGTGATTTTAACTAGGGTCGTGTCTGGAGAGACTGAGAGAGGTGGAGAGATTCAAGGCAGTCAAGTAAACTGGCCTTGCTGGCCTAGGAGGAGCTAGAGGAGAAGAAAGGAGAAGGGGGTATCAAGGCTCTTGGCTTGTGAGGCCAGATGGTCAGAGCAGCCATTTGTAGAGGCAGGGAGTGAGGAGGGAGGACCAGTTTGGAGGTGAGGATAGTGAGTTTCCGTTTGAGGCATCCCAAAGAAAGCGTCCTCCCGCTAGTTGGGTGGAGGACCTGAAGCTCAGATGAGAGGCTTGCACTGAGCATGGAGATGTGTGCTGTGTTCATGAAGGTGACTGTTGTGGCCGTGGATCTGGATGGAGTCTCATGAGGGAGAGCCAAAAGCAAGACAAGAAGAGTCCTGTTATTTGATGGAAGAAGAAGAAGCTTGCCAGGCAACCAGAGCGGGGGAGGAAATGGGGGACATGGCGTTGTATCACTGAGCCAAGGGAAGGTGCATTTCAAGTAGACAGAGTGAGCAATGGGCAGAATGGAGCTGAGGACTGGGTTTAGCAAGCATGGAGGTCCCTGTGGGGAGCTATTTCAGTGGCACGTCAGGAGCAGGGGCCAGGGAGCCATGGCATTCGGAGGGGAGTGGGAAGTGAGGGATGGGAGGCTGTGATCAGCTTTTTCAAGAACTTGGCTGTGAAGGGAGAAAGGCAGAGCCATAACAGACGGGAGTTTTGGGTTTTCTAAAGATGAACCTTACATGTGTCTTCTATCCAGCTCCACGAAAGAGGCTGACTGTAGGACTACAAGAGAGAGACACAGGTTCATAGACCAAAGAAGTTTCCTGAGAAGGCAAGAGGGTGAGACTTAGGACTACGGCGGGACAGTTGGCCCTGGACAGGAAGGAGAGGGGGTGTGATGGGCAGCAGTGGGCCTGTTTGGTATCAGGAGAATGAAGGGTTCCCATTCAATGGCCCCTGAAGCCTGAGGAGGCTGGAAAAGGTTGAAATAGTCGATATAGATTTTGAGAATACTTTGGCCAGAGAAACAGAGCAGGATTGGCACACAGCATTGCAGGCCTATGGGTGGCTCCAGTGAGACCAACTGGTCCCATCATGTGACATTCTCCACCATGCCAGTTACTTTCACTCAAACACGTGAGTGGGGTTGGCCCAGGGTAGGGCTTTGCCAGATAGAAGCGATGAGAAATGAGAGAGACAAAAACGCTAAACTAGCTAAGAGGTCAGTAGAAAGGGTTGGGAGAGAGGGCAGCCACTCAGAGGTCTCAAGGGAGTGAGGGGAGTGGAAGCAGCCAGTGAGACGGAGAGGAGGACTGGCTCCCCTATATAATATTCAGACTGATAGCCCCCACCCCTTTCTTTTATTTCCTCCTTCCATTCGTCTCCTGTTTCTCACCCTCCCCACTTTCTCCCTGGTTTTCGCAACCTCCTTCAAAGAGTCCCTCTCCTTGCCAGGGTGGATGTTGGCAGGTAGGGGAGGGCGCAGTAGGGACTGGGGCCCCAGACACACTGGATCCAAATCTGCCTCCACTGCTCAATCACTGTGTTACTCTGGGCACAGGATGTAACTGCCCTGAGTCTCTGTTCTCGATCTGTAAAATGGAGAGAACATGCTGCTCTTCATTGGGATGCTGAGGGCTGGTGATGATGGTTATGAGATATTCGAGCCACATATCCAGCACATAGTAGTTGCTCAATAAATGGTAGCTTTCCCCCCTGCTACCTGCCACCAATTCTGCACTACTCTGCCATGCTGGCAGGTCTGCCCCTCCCAAGAACCAGCCAGGTGGCCAGTACCAGGCAAGCAGAGCCTGGGGCTTCCCTGGGACTCTCTCCTCTGCCTGCTGAAGGCAGGAGGTAGGCCAATGATCCCCAGCTGGCAGGTACTGTAAACCCTCTACCTGCCCACAGATCTTCAGGCTGACACGAAGCAAGGTGGATGATGACAAGGCACGCATCATCATTCGGAGCCTCCTGGACCACCCAGTCCTCGAGGAGCTGGACCTGTCGCACAACCTCATTGGGGACCGCGGCGCGCGTGGCGCTGCCAAGCTGCTGAGCCACAGTCACCTGCGTGTGCTCAACCTGGCCAACAACCAGGTGCGTGCACCTGGTGCCCAGTCCCTGGCTCACGCCCTGGCACAGAACACCAGCCTCATTTCCCTCAACCTGCGCCTCAACTGCATCGAGGATGAGGGTGGCCAGGCTCTGGCCCATGCCTTGCAGACCAACAGGTGCCTCACAACGCTGCACCTCGGTGGCAACGAGCTGTCCGAGCCCACCGCCACGCTACTGTCCCAGGTGCTCGCTGTCAACACCACGCTCACCAGCATCAACCTGTCCTGCAACCACATCGGGCTGGTGAGCCACCGCTTCTGGGCCCTCTGAGGGTGGGTGTGGAATCCAGCTGCCTCGGGGTACTTGCAGGTTCGAGACCAGCCTGGGCAACTTGGCAAGACTTCGTCTCTACAAGAATTTTAAAAATTAGCTGGACATGGTGGCGCATGCCTGTAGTTCCAGCTATTTGGAAGGTTGAGGAGGAAGGATCTCCTGAGCCCAGCAGGTTGAGGCTGCGGTGACCATGAGCATGTACTGCACTCCAGCCTGGGTGGCAGAGTGGGACTCCGACTCAGAAAAAAAAAAAAAAAAAAGCTGAGCGCAGTGGCTCAAGCCTGTAATCCCAGCACTTTGGGAGGCCAAGGTAAGGGGATTGTCTAAACCCACAGGTTCGAGAACAGCCTGGGCAACTAGGTGAGACCTCTTCTCTACAACAAATAAAAAAATTAGCCAGGCATGGTAACGCATGCCTGTAGTTCCAGCTACTTGGAAGGCTGAGGCGGAAGGATTGCTGGAGCCCAGCAAGTCGATGCTGGGGTGGCCGTGAGTGTACCACTGCACTCCAGCCTGGGCAACAGAGTGAAACTCCAACTCAAAATTAAAAAAAAAAAGTCACACACTTTCCATGCTACACACAGCATCGAATACCCATGCACACTGTGCTGGTGAGTGTGTCCCAGTATCCATTATTTTCTCTTTAATCCTCACAGTCATCTAAGTAAGATGAGTATTCTTAACCCCACTTTCCAGTTGGAAAATTGAGTCTCAGAGAGGGTAGTGAATTTCCCAAGAGCATCAAGTCAGTAGAAAGTGACAAATCTGTGATTCGAACCCAAGCCTGAAAGCCTGAGTTCTTTCTAATAGGGCCTCTCAAACTTTCATGACCAACTCAGGGAGTAAGAAATGGAATTTACATGAGCACCTAGTGAACATATATATAAATATAATGTCACTGAAATCTACTTTTGGCCGGTGTTCAGTGGCTCAGCCTATAATCCCAGCACTTTGGGAGGCCAAGGTGAGTGTATTGCCTGAGCCCATGGACTTGAGACCCACCTGGGCAACTTGACGATACCTTGTCTCTACAATTGAAAAAATCAAAAAAATTAACTGGGCATGGAAGCGCGTGCCTGTAGTTCTGGCTACTTGGAAGGCTGAGGCAGAAGGATCGCTGGAACCCAGCAGGGCAAGGCTGTGGTGGCCGGGAGTGTGCCACTGCACTCCAGTCTGGGCAACAGAGTAAGACTCCAACTCAAAAAAGAAAGCAAGAAATCTACTTTTACTGCTGGTGATATATACTGATGTTTCCTTTATATTCTATTCTATTTCTTTTTTTTAAGTTGGAGTCTCACTCTGTCACCCAGGCTGAAGGGCAGTGACTGCTTCCGGCCACTGCAGCCTCGACCCACTGGGCTCCAGCGATCCTTCCACTTCAGCCTTCTGAGTAGCCAGAATTACAGTCATGCACTACCATTCCTGGCTAATTTTTTGATTTATTGTAGAGATGAGGTCTTGCCAAGTTGCCCAGGCGGATCTCGAACCCGGCTCAGGCAATCCACTCACCTCAGCCTCCCAAAGCGTAGGATTACAGGCTGAGCCACTGAGCCCAGCTCTATTTCATTTTTTTAAATGCTTCTGTGACTCATGAAATTGACTTTGGAACACGCTGTTGGGTCACAACCATAGAATGGCAGCATTCTGCATCCCAACATGAAATTCATTCACGTTGGGCTTGGCCCACCCAACCCAGAAGGGACTGGAGCTGTGAGGACTACTGGGGGTGCCCTATGGCCACTGAACCCATTACTAAACCTACCCATGGGAACGGCCTTGTGCGCGCGCGCGCGCACACACGTTGTCTCCAGAGGGGGAGACTACAAGTACTTGGAGACTACTTGGCTTCCAGTAGTGAAGAGCCTAACCAGGAAATGACTGAAACAGGAGGACTGCACAATAGCTCCCATAACCAGAAGCCCCAGGGTAAGGATTCTGAGGTTGGTGAACCCCTGGGCTCAGCATCACCCTCTGCTCTACACACCCTAGCCATGTGGCTGTGGCCCCAGGCTGGCTGTTATAGTTCTGACATCTCACTAGGAGACATGCCCAGACCAGAGAAAGGGAGAACACTCCCCCTCTTTTGTTCTCTTTTCAGAGGGAGGAGAACTTTCCCAAATGCCACCCCTTCAAAACGTCCCCTTCACATCTTGTTTTGTCTTTGAGTCGGGAGTCTCACTCTGTCACCCAGGCTAGATAGAGTGCAGTGGTGTGATCATGGCACACTGCAGCTTCGACCTTCTGAGCTCAAGCAGTCCTCCCACCTCAGACTCCCAAGTAGCTGGGACTACTGGCGCACACCACCACACCTGGCAATTTTTGCTTTTTGTAGAGATGGAATCTTGCTATGTTTCCTAGGTCAGTCTCAAACTCCTGGGCTCAAGCAATCCTCCCACCTCACCCTACCAAAGTGCTGGGATTATAGGTGTGAGCTACTGCATCCAGCCAGCTGTACATCTTGCTAGACAGATTTGCCCCACATGCCCACAGCTGAACCAAAGGTATGTAATTATCAGAGATCCCTGTTTTTCAAACCACTGGGGGTTGAGAAATCAATTTAGTGAGTCTTCACCACCATGTTTTGAATGGACTGAAATAGAATATTGAATGTGCCGCACAAGTAAGTTTTGTTTTGTAAAATTGTTGTTTTAGCCGGGCTCGGTGGCTCAGCCTGTAATCCCGCGCCTTTGAGAGGCTGAGGTGAGTGGATTGCCTGAGTCCGCGGGTTCGCAACCTGCCTGGGCAACTTGGCGAGACCTCATCTCTACAATAAATTTTAAAAATGAGCCGGGCGTGGTAGCGCGCTCCTGTAGTTCCAGCTACTTGGAAGGCTGAGGCGGAAGGATCGCCGGAGCCCAGCATGTCGAGGCCGCGATGGTTGGGAGCGGCCCACTGCACTCCAGTCTGGGTGAGAGAGTGAGACTCCAACTCAAACAAACAAACAAACAAACAAAAAACTGTTGTCTTAGTCACATTTACTTAAAGATGTGTAGTGTGTGCATGTGATCCTGGGTAGTGATGTAAAATGACCCCTTCCCTTTGCTTTGCTCCCAGGATGGTGGGAAGCAGCTCCTAGAAGGCATGTCAGACAACACGACCCTCCTGGAATTTGACTTGCGCCTGTCAGATGTCGCCCAGGAGAGCGAGTACCTCATTGGCCAGACCCTCTATGCCAACCGAGAAGCAGCCCGCCAGCGGGCCTTGAATCCCGGCCACTTCATGTCACACTGATCACTGCCGATGGCCCTGAGAACCCCATGGGATGAGACGGGCAACAGGGCCAGAGCAGTGATCTGACGTGGGTCTGCCCCAGCCCCATCCCTCAGTTCATGCCCCTGCCTTGCCTGCTGTGGAGTGTCATACTGGCTCAGGGGCAGGGGAATGGGAGACCACGAATATCCTTGGAGTGAGTGCTCAAGGGTTGTGCGGATAAAGCTGTGAGGCAGGGACGGGAGCCTGGGGTGGGGGCGGAGGGGGTATGAAGTGGGGACCCAGCCCCTGTGCCCAGAGAGCGCCATTACTGGACCCCCATAAATGATCAACTTCTTCTAGGAACAGGAAAGTCAGAGAGGACTCTGAGGAACTGTGCCTGCCCAGACTCTCCCATGGGGGCCGCCCACCTCCGTGACCTCCATCCCACCGTTTTCCTATTGACAGACCCTTGACCTTCAAACATACATACATACAAATGCACGTGTGCATGCTCCTCTGGCTGCAGCAGAGCTATGCCTGGCTCTTTCTGCCACCCTCACCCCTGCAGATGCCATCTCCCTGTTGCTTGACCCTACAGGTCATGCTATCCCCTAGTCCTCCAACCTCCAACCTGCGAAGGGGACAACAGAAGTGTCAGGAGGGGCTCAGACCTCCTGGCCTTCCCTGGGAGACACCTGTAGATGATGACTGCTAAGGAAAGATGGCAGTACCCTGAGAGCGTCTCACAGGAGGGAGGAGGTAGAGAAAGAGGTGCCACTCCAGTCCAGGAAGTCAGTGAGTCATCCACAACTTTATTATCCACCATTTTGATTTGTACAATCTTTGCGCTTGGAAATTCACGACAGAAAGGCCACAGTGTGATGCACCCAAGTGACAGAGACCTGTCTCCTCCCCAGCCAGGCCAGCCCACCCCACAAGCCCTTGCCCCCAAGACACCTGGAGCTTTCTGGGTGCCCTCCATGAGTTCCTGTTACCCCACAGCCACCCACCCTGGGGCCATACCCACAGGAGTCTCATCAGCCCACGAGGTTGCAGGAGGATCTGATTCAGGTTTGCCCCATCCCTCATCATCCTTGGGCAGCAAGACCCAGAGCTTCCAGACTCCGTCCCCAGAGGGTGGGTCAGGGGCAGCACCCACAGCCCAGGGTGCCTGCTCTCCAGGGCTCCTTCCAACAAGCAATGAGCAGAGCACCAGAAGGGGCTTGGGAGTGATTGCATGTGCGTGCCTGTCTGGGCAACCTAGAGTCTGTCTGTGCCTGACACCCTCTGACTGTTCTGGAGTGCAAACGTGTAGGTGTGAGGGTGTGTGTGAGTGTGTGTGTATAGCCACAGCTGCTAGCAGAGGTTCTAATTAGAGAAACAAGAACATTCAGTGTAAAGTTTAATTTTAGAGATTAATTAATTTTCTGGTTTTCGTTTTCCCTGGCAATCCATAAAGCTACCAAGAAAATAGACCAAAGAATTGGCTTCTCTCTAAGTCTGTGCGTGTGTGGGAGGTGAGGCTGTCTGTGTGAGACCTAGGCAGAAATGGTCAATACAGGCAAAAATAATAATGGGGTCCCCCTCCCCGCTTCTCAGGCCAGGCTCTGTCTCTGGAATGTGCCTGAGGAAGGAGAAGCCAAGTTCCTCCCTCCCTGAAGCCACAAGGTGGCCAAGTTGCCTTCACATGGGGCATGACATCCAGGTGCCAGCTAGCCAAGACATGGGACCTGTGGCCACAGCTTGCCACCTGTACCTCACCTGTACCTTCTAGTTCAGAGGAACTAGAAAGAGGAATACTCCAAATGCCAGGACCCCGAGAAGCACAGCCTCGGGATCCAGGCGGGTGTGGTGCTGGCAGGCAGGTGGGCACTGCTCCTCAGGAGAACCTTCCTGCCCAAGCCTCCCTCTCCCTGGCCTCTCCTCTCCTCCCCTTATAAATCCTGGGACATGGTGTCCCCACAATTTGGGCCCCTCACCTCCCCCTTGGGAAGGAAGGGGAGCCAGAGGTGATGTTGCATAGGTGAAGGCTATGCCCATTGGTGGGAGCTGGCTTGGCTGGGGGGTAGGAAGATGGGAGGGGTTAAAGGAAAAGTGGGGGTTCCGATGGCTCAGGCAGAGCAAGAAGCCTCAGGGGTGAGAAATGCAGGTGGCCCAAGGATTATCCTCTCTAGCCTGAAATGTGAGCTCAGTCCCTGGGCACTAAATCTGCTGGGAAAATTTTAGCCAGGGGAGCTGGGAGGGCAGGGAGTCGTACACAGACATGCACACGGAAGCACATCGGGGTGGAGGTGGGGGGGCACAGGGAAAGAAGGCGGTGTCAGAGCTCGGGAGAACAGGACGTGGGGCCAGCGCCCTGGGGTGGTGGCAGGATGCCCCTGTAAAGCCCCTGGGACACACAGCAGGGCTTCAGCTCACGGGATAGGGAAGGATGAAGGGGGCGGGCAAGATTTCAAGAATTCCTGCCTCTGACCCTGCCACTGGAATTGAGTATTTCTCCAGTTGGGGCTTGTGACAATGTCCTCAGCCCCGAAGAGGTGTGTGAGCCAGACGAGCACACTCCCCGCCTCCCCACAGGTCTAAGGGAGGCAAGGGCCACGCCCCAGACTCCCCACCTTCGGCGGTCCTTTCCCTCTAGCCTCCACTGCCCTCTCCTTCACTGCCACCCGCTTCTGGAGTTCCCCGTTGTCACCCAGTCTATCTCCTGCTCTCTCCACTTCATCACTCGCCCTGGCCAGCTTGAACAAACGACGCCTGGGTGGCATCTCGCCTCTCGAAAGGGAGCTCCCGCCCAGAACCAGGTGAGGAGGCTGCTGCTGGAGGCTGCCGTCTAGAGAAAGGACTGAGGTACACAGCCATCCACATCTCGCTGGCCCCTCCCCCTGCTCTTCGGGGGCCGGGGTGCGGGAGGTGAGTGACGTCTGTGTGGTGAGCACAGTCCCTCCGGACCCGGACTCCGGGCCCGGTGAGATCAACAACCGTGGGGGGCGTGGCAGAAAGGAAACCCCAGCCTTTGGGGACAGCGCCAAGAAGAGGACGGCAACATCTCCGCGGTGTAGGGAGAGAGCATCGAGGTTGACACCCGGCCCAGCCCCAGACCCACCGAGCTCATCAGCTAGCTGGCAGCCAGCCTGCTGGTCACCAAGCCGTCACCCCTTCGATGCAAAGCGGCCCCCCGGGGGGGGGGTGCGAGGCACCGGAAGAAGGAAAGCCCCAAGCTTCCTTCTCCACAGCCTCTAAACCTCCCAGCCGCACAGCGAGGGCCTCTCGCTTGGGGCCACGGCGGGTCCCCCAGCGCAGTTGCCAAGTAACAGTCAGAAGATCCGCTGAAAGCTGGACGGGAGGGAGCTGTCCCCGCGGAAACCCAGAGGTGGGGCTGGAAGAGACGACTCTGCCAAGGCGCGACGCTCGGGGAGCGGCCCACCCCCCGCCACCCACGTGTCTCTCTATGTACAGGGACCGCGCGGCCGGGGTCTCTCCGGC